ATTTATTTTTAAAATACTTCATAGATTATACTACCGTGGTCATATGGTACCTTGCTTGGTACTAGTTCATAATTATCGGATATTATCGCTCGACCCATATTTTATTCCAAATTGGCCACTTTCAACGAAACTCGTTTTCTTCAATCCGTGTACCCCTTTATCCTTCATAACACTTATTTATCGCTTGTTATAAATAGCGTAAGTACGTTAACGTCAAGATGATCTCATCCCCGAGTCTACGTCGGTTAACTGAAAACGAAATTTTAACGTACGAAAACGCGATATATAACACCTTATTTATTTAATTTTTTAATTTTTATATGTGTTTGACTAATTTTGGTAAGTTTATGACTAATGGCTAGAGATTGGTAAGTTAAAACTTATTTGGGACATTTGTGTAAGTTTCCCTTTTTTAATTCCTATACTCTATTGGAAACTTTATTACCCTAAATGTTCATGTTTAGTAAATTACCCTACCTACACAAGTTTTGTTTACAAAATATATACATTCCACCTTAAAAGGCTTTCAATCCATTATTAGTACCTTCAATTAAGGGATTTAGTTACACCATTTTCCTTTTTTTTCTCCTCTTCTCTTTCCTTATGTTTCCACTCGTATGTCACAACTCAGTGGACCTTACCCAATTTTTTTGGGTGTAAACTTTTTGTTTCAATTTTTTACTTTTTACCTTTTGCTCTTCCCTTCGTCTTCCTTATTTCCTTTTTGACATTTTCAGAAGTTCAATATCACATTATGTCAAACAGATTAACCATGTCAAAACTCCTAATTTAGCTTTCTCTTTGGTGTTACTTTCTATTTCAATTTTCTAATTTTTACTCTTTGCTCTCCCCTTCAATCTTCCTTATTACCTTTTTGACTTTGCCAAAAGTTCAATATCACATTATGTCGAAACTTTTCACTTCCTTTGTATCCAAATTAACCATATCCAAAATCCTAATTTAGCTTTCTCGGTCAAATCGACAAGTTTGTTAAGCAGTTTGATCAAAACCCTACTGATTAAAATAATTCTCAGTTCTGATAAATGTGATTCGCATGATCATAAAATTTCAGAGGAAGTTAAAATGTGTAAAAATATTACCGAAAAGGCCTAGTTTTATTAACATACTCTTCATTGCAGCGCCTCAATTTCACACTTAAAATTAGTCTGTTCACATCTTCATATTTTCTCTATAAATAAACAAGTCAAAAATCAGTACCAATACACACTTTTAAAAGTTTACAAAAGAAGTTTCAATTTTATAAGAAAATAGATGAAAATGGCTTCACATTCAACCACTTCTCTGTTCTTGACACTATTCCTTATTACACAAGTACAATTTTTATACAATTTTATAAAATATATCTTTTGTATATTTTGTATCTGATTTATACATAATAAAAATAAATTTCATACAACTAATTATATATTATACAACTTATCTACATCTTTCACACATTATTTCTACCCAGTTAAATACAACTATAATAACATACAACTTAAATACAAATTTTACCCAATATGTCTTTTGTATATTTTGTATCTGATTTATACATAGTAAAAACAAATTTCATACAACTAATTATATATTATACAACTTATCTACAATTTTCATACATTATTTCTACTCAGTTATATACAACTACAATATCATACAACTTAAATATAATTTTTATACAATGTTGTTCAACTTTCATACAATAGTTAAATAAATAAAAGAAAAATAGATAAACAACAGAATACAATTTTTCTACAATTTTACTATAATTTTATAAATATAATGTATATCATGCCTTCTTATTCTTCTTCTTCGAGTTTCAATCTGATCGGCCAAAACCAAGTCTAATCTTCACCAAAACCCCTCAAAATTGAGGTATAAACTCCAAATCATATTCCAAATTGTTTGCAACAACACTCAATCCAAACAAATAATGATTTTTGAAAACCCAAATTCAAATTCAAAGCTTCAAAGCTTTTTAATGGCTACCAATGGTGGAATTGCTGCTGTCTTTTCCTTTGCTTTACATTACTGAAATTAGGGATTGAGAGATAGAGAGAGAACTAGAGAGAATTCCCAATTCTTGCAACAACACCCAATTCAAACAAATAATGTTTTTTGAAAATACAAATTCGAATTCAAAGCTTCAAAAACTTTTTAAAGGTTGTCAATGGTGGAATTGCTGCTCTCTTTTCCTTTGCTTTACATTACTGAAATTAGGTATTGAGAGATAGAGAGAGACGTAGAGAAAATTTCCAATTCTTTGCAACAACATCCAATTCAAACAAATAATGTTTTTTGAAAACCCAAATTCGAATTCAAAGCTTCAAAGCTTTTTAATGGTTGTCAATGGTGGAATCGTGGGTGAGTGCAAGATACGTGGGGAAGGGGGTGGGATGTGGAGAGAGAAACGTGGGAGAGTGGAAGATATGTTAGAGTAATTTTAGGACACTAATTATTATCATTAATACCCTTAAAATGTACATAAATGGTAATTGGGTATATAAAATGTAATTATAGTAAATTTTGAGTAGGGAGGGTAATATAATTTCATATATTGTATAGGAATGTAAAAATTCCTTTTTTTTTTTGGGAAACGATTTTCTTAACAAATGACATGCTAGTGTTTCCTTGAATTCGGTGTGTGAACTAGCTTACACACACCTCAAATATTCCATCAGGTGTGTACTACCTTCCACCAACATAAGTATTGAATACTTATATCTACGGGTATTTATAAAAACTCGAAAAATCGAACCAAATCGAAAACCGAACCAAACCGACCAAAAAAATCGATACTTTTTAGGTTTGGTTTGGTTTTGGTTTTGAATTTTAAAAACAGACCAAATTTGGTTTGGTTTTGGTTAATATAAAAAATAACCGAAAAATAACCGAACCAAACCAACTATAAAAGTAGCTATTTAAATTTATTAATACACCTATATAGGGACATTTGCATCTATACCCGCTTTTTGGGTCACGTTTTAACTTGTACCCGCTTTGCAAAAAAAATTGCAAGCGTACCCACTTTTTCGCATAACTTCAGCATACGGCCCTGAAGTAGCAAAGGCAATCACGCAAACTTCAGCATTCTAGTAGACGGGCCTGAAGTAGCAAAACCAAGTGTGCTGAAGTTTTTGTTTGTAATTGCTGAACTTAAGCATTCTAGTGCTGAAGTTTTGTTCTCTATTTGCTGAAATTTTTATTTGTAATTGCTGAACTTAAGCATTCTAGTAGCTCAAGTTTTGTGATGCTTAAGTTATTTAATTCATTTGTATAAGCTGAAGTATTTTTATCCTGGATTCACTAGTTTTGTCATTAAGCTTTTTCAAAAACTTCAGTAGAAGATGCTGAAGTTATTTAGTTCATTTGTAAAAACTTCAGCACTAAATAAGCTGAAGATTTTTTGTCCCGGATTCATTAGTTTTGTCATAAAGCTTTTTCAAAAACTTCAGCAGAAGATGCTGAAGTTATTTAGTTCATTTGTAAAAACTTCAGCACTAAATAAGCTGAATTTTTTTTGTCATGGATTCCTTAGTTTTGTCATAAAGCTTTTTCAAAAACTTCACCAGAAGATGCTAAAGTTATTTAGCTCATTTGTAAAAACTCCAGCACTATATAAGCTGAAGTTTTTGAAAAAGCTTTCTAACAGACTAGATAAATAGTCACCTTATTCTTTCATAGTGTATTACTACTATAAAATAATCAGATTGCCAACAGTATCTAAATCATAAATTTTGGAAACAATAAACGTGAAAAGAACAGAATTATCATGAAAAGAATTACTAAGTGTGACCTTAAACTTCGCGTACGTGGAAATATTCACAAATTATTGTCTACTAACTTATGTAATTATTTATAATTTATTTTTAAATAATCTGATAAACATACTTATGGCAATCATCCCATGAACTGAAGTTTCATAGTAGCACCAACAGCAGCAGAAGAAAGAAGAAAAAGAAGAAGAAAACGAAGGAGGAGAAGGAGGAGGAGAAAGGGGACTGAAGTTGTTTAAAAAGTGGGTACAAGTTAAAACTTTTTTTAAAAAATGGGTATATGTTAAATGGGGGCGACCAAATAGGGCGCCCCGTGCAATTTTTACAGCTATATATATATGTATATTTTTATATAAAGTTTCTAAAATTTTATGGTACATATTAGCCATTAGTATTTTTAATCTAGTTCGTGTTATTATAATAATCTAATTCTTCGCCTTTACATTCTAGTTTAATCGGTAATTTTTTTGGTTAAGTACAAGAATTTATTTCATGTTAAAAATATCTACTTGAGTACTTAAATTGTTCATCACTATTGATTCAATTCAATATATCTTGATAAATGATAGATTTCTCAAAGAGCAATTGATTTGATAGTGTTACGTTAAAATATAATCGCCGGAATATGCGTATGGTAGTGTATGTCTTAAATTAAAAAAATGTAAATAATCAAAAAAAATTGAAAAACTGACAAAAACCAAATCGATAAAAACCCGACTTAATTAATTTAGTTTCAATATTTAAAAACCCAACTTACTTGGTTTAGTTTAGAAATAAAACCGATCCAAACCGAACAATGAACACCCTTACTTATGTCCACCCAAACTCAGATAAATGAAAGCAATGACCTTTCACCTCAACTATACCATTATGTCCCTATCTTCCACCAACACAAGTATCAAATAACTGGAAAAATCCACCAACTGTTTACTAGAATTTGAATTCTAGTCCACAACATTTGCACTCCACAAGAATTTAAATTCTAGTCCCCAACATTGACACCCTTTGGTGCTAGTTTGCTCTTTTTATACCTTTCTTCACTTACTCTAGGAAAGAAAACTGAACAGATAATGGACTGAAAGAGAACAGAGGATGTTGGTAGCAAACTTCCTATTGTTGCCTGTGACTGAAATGCAGATGATGATGCATCAAACAGAGACACAGCACTATCGGGACAGCCGTGCAGACTTATCTTTAAATTTGATGAATTAAGCTTTAATCAACACATTAAGAAAAGTCTACATAATTTTGACCATTCAACCTACTAATATCAATGAAACCAAATTCAAGAAAATTTCATTATCTCGCAAAGCTGGGCAGCTCAAAATGAAGGTGGTGCAAAACCAAAAGTCTCAGATACAAAGTATAGAGATATCAATTGTTGTAAATAGAAATTGATAGGAGCATTGTCAACAACAAAATTCTCCAAGTTGCAGTATGCTGCAGAAACGAACTGTCTTCACAGCCTCCTTCCCCTTCTACCACCCTTTCTGCGAGTGCTATCTGTGGGAATTGGAGTCACATCCTCTGCACAGGAAAAATACAGTGTGAGTTACTCAAAAATGATTTTTCCATAACATAACAATGATAAAACAAAAATGGGTATAATGTGTTATTTATTACAACCCATGGAAACAGTTGCACTAGCAATCTATGCTTGCTCGAACTCTCCAACAATATTGATGCACCCGTTTTTTTGAAGAGTCAAGCATCATAACTAGCAATGCAACACATGATAATATAATGTAGCCAAATGGAGACAAAATTCCAGAATACACAAAATCAGGAAGCAATGACCACTATATATTACAACAATAGTAATGCACACAGACAATTACTAGAGCACAATAATCAATATTATAACAAATATTGTACCTATGCGTCCAATTTTCATGCCAGATCGAGCCAAAGCCCTAAGAGCAGACTGGGCACCAGGACCAGGAGTCTTAGTCTTGTTACCTCCGGTAGCCCGAAGCTTAATGTGAAGAGCATTAATTCCAAGTTCCTGTAGATACAAAAATAGTGATTAATGCCATTAAATTGTAAACGTTAGACTAGATGGATGAAAGATGGAAGGACGCAAGAGCTTCAGCCGCCAATTAACTTAGCATTGTCATACTTGGACTCTAAATAAATTCCACAGCTAACAGGGAATACCATATACAAAATTACTGACCACCTTTTAAAAACCTTAATGCTTAAATGGATTGATAGTAAGCATCTTTTACGTAGCCCAAGCATCATCAAGCAATATATGATTGTTAATGGTAACAGTGTATGAAAATTGAAGATGCACATCACATCAATTCACACAAAGAGGGCCCTCAATAATCTTTCGAACCATCTATCCACTAAAGAGGGGAGAGAGAGGGGAAGTGGGAGGCCATCCTGTGTTCGTAGTATCATTGTTTGATTTCGGCGGAACCAAGTCATGAGCTTTAGGACACGCTCAGGAAAATCTTCGACTTGAATGGAGGCAATCAGAAGCTCCAAAAGGGTCTCAAGGCTCTTACTGCTAGAAAAACTATCTGATTAATTTGGCACGCATCTTACTGGTCATGCAGCAACAAAGGAAACATCAAACCTTGTACATATCCAGGTTCAGTGAAATTAAATACAGCAACTCCAATACATGACCTTTTTAAATAGAAGCCAACATTCAATCTAGGTACATAATACCATCTTGGCAAAAGGTCCTCATTTCTTTCATGAAAATTGGTGTACAATGCAGTTTCCCAGATGAAGATATGAACTACACACCTATATATCTGATGCGTTCATCGGTTCAGTAGAATTTTAAGATATAATACATTATCAAAAACTACACAGCACACTACCTTGCATCGCTGAGACACATCCTGAGCTGCAAGCATGGCAGCATATGGAGAAGATTCATCTCTATCAGCCTTCACCTTCATTCCACCTGCAACCATGGTGTTTAACAAATTGAGATGCAAACGACAATGTACATGTAGCTTGAAGCGAAAAGCAAGAAGTAAAGTGCACTTGAATTGAAGCACACAATTTACGAAAAAGTATCAGACAAACATGATCTTAATGCTACAGTAATGAAATTATATTTAACATAACTTATTTTAGCATCCAAAAATGCATAATTCCAACACTGATCCAAATTCCCCATGCTGAGATCAAAGAAAGACCCTTTTTTTATGGCATCATTGAGTGAAGCACACACTTGTTTGAAATAAGCAATGTCTTTTAGTAACACATTGGCTATAAGAAACCTCAAATATTTAGTTACCTTCACCTAAAACCAATTCATTCCAATATTATTTGTTGTTTTTGACATATTATGGGTTCCCTAGCACTTGATATTCTCAACATTCTATTACTATAAAAACCTCCCACCTTCACCTACAGTGAAAAACTAAAACAAAATTAAATATATAGGGCAAAAACAAGATGTTAGATGCTGAACAAACTCGTCTAGGTCCATCCATAAAACTATTAAAGAATGAAATCAACAACTTTAATTGATATACCTAACAACAAAAAATGTAAATAATACTATCAGCAACTACTAGGAACAAATGCCGCACGAAAGCATACCAGTAATGCGAACCATAGTTTCTCTTCCAGACAAATCAGTTACGTGCTGCAGTTTTAAACAATGTGTAAATTAAAATTCAGCACAAACACACGAAAATCATAAATTCAATTTCTATAATCTCATAAGAACCGTAACAAAAACTCACAATGAATGTATCGTTGAAAGAGGCAAAAATGTGAGCAACACCGAACACCAATTCACCCTCCCTCGTCGCTGGACCAAGTGTTACGGTCTCTTCCTTTGGCTCCCTAGTCTTTCTCCTCGACTACAAAACAAAATTAAAACAAAATATATTTATTATTATATTTTTGCATAATAAATCAAGCTAAATAATAATCGAAAATGGAGAGAAATAGTACCATGGATTCGGCTGGGATTGGTAGTGAGAAGCTCAAGAGATACTGAAACAGCTAGCGAATAACCCTAGTTTGTGGTTAAAGATGATGAAAATGGCTGTCCTCTGTTTATATAGTTAGGGTTTGGGGAATGAGCTTTTCTGATATATTGGAATGACCCCTCCTTGTTTTTCCTTTTGACTGTGAGTGCCCCCTCTAGTTCTGATACGTGTACTCTTGCCCCGCTCATCAGATGTTTTTGCCAAATCAAATGATTTAACCTTTTTTTTTTTTTGAGCAAATAGGAAATAGATATATCTATATTTATATATATACTAAAGAACATATATATTAAAGCAAAGAAGTTTGCATTCTAATTTAGCCAAGTGTCAAATTATTAGAATGCCAATTGGCAATATATTAAAATGACACATGGCAACTTAATTTATTACTACTTATTGTTATTAAAATGCAAGATTAAAATTTAAATTTTTAAGCATAATCGAGTTATTAAAATGCAAGATTTAAAAGCACATTTTCCGGCATAATTGAGTCAAAATATACGTATGACAAAACCTTCCAATTAGCCTAAAAATCTGGACTGTTATTAATTACGAGTTATTACTAACCGAATATTTAATAATATTTAATATTTAATAAATATTTAACTATAGGCTCTTTCGATTGCAATTTTTGGCATGCAATATATTTGGAATTGCAATATATTTAACTATAGGCTCTTTCGATTGCAATTTTTGGTATGCAATATATTTGGGATTGCAATATATTTGGGATGCAATATATTTGGGTATGCAATTACGAGTCCAATTTTTGGTATGCAATCGGAAAATATGGTATGCAATATATTTGGGATTGCAATTAGGCCGAAAAATTGCACTCAATTTAAAGTAATCTCTATATTTAATAATAATATAGAATATTTCATTATAAAAAAAATTAACTTCGTATATCCCATTTAAGTGGGGAATCCCATTAATAACAAAAAATGGGCCGACACCCGCAAGAAACGCTCAATATCCCATTCTCTTCTCTTCATCGTTAAACCTGATGTCTCTTTACTGGTCTTTAATTTAAAAGATCGGGTAACCTAACCCGAAAAATCTGTTCTAGATTTTTAGGGAATCCCATTTTCTTCGCTTCCTGGAATTTCAAAAAAGCTTAAACCTAATCCGAATAATCTTTTCCGCAATTTTTTGGATTTGGATACAGATGGAGAAGAGGAGACATTCAAATGTGAAATTACTCCATCGCGAGAAGACATTCAAATGTGAAGATTATTTTTTCGGTCGTTTTTCCTCATCTTTTTCGCATCTGAATTCTGGAGAGATGTGTTGTTTAAGAGACCACGCTATTTATGCCAGGTATTTCGGGATAATAACTAATTATGCACTCCCAAATGCATATGCCTCTATTTTACGGATCTTTTTATAGAAAATTCAATTTTCCATACAAAAATTACCGCATTCCTTATATATCTATAGATATATAGTAACTGAAATTTTTTGTAATTATTATTTTTCCATACAAAAATTATTGCATTCCGTGTATATATATATATACGGCATTTGACGCCATGTGAAAGACAATCCACAATCCTCTTATAAAGTTTTCTTGAAGAAGAAATATGACGGCATTTGACTATATTTGCAATATGTCGAGTAACAAGATGAATTGGAATTTGAGGGTACGAATAGTGAGATTGTGGCACGTTCCAGACCGCGACAAACCAGACAACACCGTCTCCCTTGAATTAATTATTCAAGATGAAAAGGTCCATTCTTTTTTAGTTGCACTTATTTTTTCATCAAAATTTGACTACAAAACTTTACGACTGATTATTTGCCTGACTCTATATTAATATGAATTTTTTGATTCTAGGGCGATTGTATTCATGCGACTGTTGGTCGGTCACTTATACGTATGTTCAAACCAAAGATAAAAGAATTGGGTTTGTACGTTATGAAGAACTTTGTGGTTGGACCAAATTATACAAAACTTAAATACACTCGGCATAAATTGAAGTTGGCATTTACTCATAAGACGATTGTAGAGGAAGCAAATGATCATCTTTTTTGTATGACTATCTTCGACTTAAAACATTATGAGTATTTGATAAACAAAATTGATGTTGAAGAAAGTGAACTCTTCGGTAAGTATTCAATTCGCAGTTCTTTTATTTTAATGTCTTATCAACTTTCTCCTGATTATTTTTTAAAATTATTATAGATGTCATTGGAGAGGTTGTAAGTTATGGTGAGGTAGAATCCCATAACCAAGGTGATAAAACCAGCAATTATATGAATGTGGAACTTGAAGATCATGAGTAAGATTGCGTCTTTGAATTTACTTTGTTATATATTTTTACCTGATTATTTATCGTTGTCTGATTAAGTTTTTATATATTAACATGATTACTTATCGTTTTCTTATTAAGTTGTTATATAAATTACACAGGAGGAATAATATCTCGGCAACATTTTGGGGAGAATTCGTTGATCAAATCTTGCCACATTTACAGGGATCACCCCTTCAGCCGGTCATAATTGTTATGCAGTTGATAAAAGCTCACAAATTTCAAGGTATTTCTATTGTCTTGATGACATGGGATAATTTTTTTATGTTTATGTTTTTTGTTCAGAAACTAAATATATAGATAGGTAAATATTATGTGCGTAATACTTGGCATGCCTCAAAGCTCTGGATTAACCCGGATCTTCCTCAAGCTATTGATTTTAAGTCCAGGTTAGTTATTTCATAAATTAAGTTTATGTGGATACTACACAAATAACTGTTTATGGTTAAAACTAATACAAGCTTGCGTAAAATACAGAATGGCAAGTGTGAATGAAGCTAACTCTGCCAGGATCAGTCAAATACCTTCTCAGCCTAGTTATTCTGTTTCTGAAGAGTTGGCTACTGGAACTGTAGAAGTTAAAACTATTAGCGAATTGGTCGACTGCATGGAGGTGACTAATGTATTAAACTCCTTTAGTATTTAACTAATGTTATGTTGTGTATGTATATCACTGTTAGGTCTAAAAATACTATTTATTTTTCTAAATATGCACATATATGTTTTTTAGAATACCTGTTACGTAAGTTTATGAGCATTTCACAATCTGAAACTTCACTAATAAAAAGAAGAAAGTTAGCAGAAATTCAGCAAGCAGCACGGCATGTTAACGTAAAGAACTTCAGCAAGCAGCAGGGCACGAAAATTCACACTTTCTTATCTTTTGTTGGGTAATAACATCTGAAATCTTCCCCTTAAGACTTAGAGCCCAAGCACCAGCTGTTGGTACAGTGGAACTCAGTGTAGTAGTGATGTGGTTGCAATTTCTTTCCTCTCTGTTTAATATCTATGCTTAGTTACTTATATTTTTGGTTTTGGGACATAAATGGAATTTTTCACAACTTATGCTCTTGGCATTTATATATAGATTACAACATCAATTTTGCTACCA